TTTTCGATATTGTTGTCCCGCGCAACATGCGGATATCTGCCTAGTATCTAATTTATATTCGAATTCCACACATAAAATTCATTGGTTCAATAAAGATTTTTTGAAGAAAGGTTTATGTTTGAAAATTTGGATAAATCAAATAAATTTCCAAACGGTTGGTCCTAAACCAGAGACTATTATATATTATATATACCAAAAACTCAAAACTAATGTCTAGTAACCCACACTAAAACTTGGAATTTCAGCTTGATTTCCATCATAGTTTTAATGAATTTCTGATGAACCCGTTACAACATACATGGTTTTTATTGTATATCATTGTGATGTATTTTTATTAATTGGTATAGATTTCATTGTGGGGTTAATTAGCTTAATATTTGTTTTGGAGTGCATAATTAGGTAACTAACTTCTGCATAATTAAATTTAGTTCTCTAGGAGAGAGAAGGATAAAGTGGACAAAAATACCCCTGCAAAAATTAAGAAGGGAAATGTGTAAAAATCAATCAAAAATATTTACCATTAATCGCTAAAATCACAAAAAAATATTTTCTTCCATCGAAACCTAATTGGCAATGTCTGCGAAGGAGAAATAAAATCTCATATTTTGGTTGATCGATGCAGAATGATCTTGATTGATTTTGTTGTATCCGATTTGATATTTTATTAATATCAACCATTTAATCGTATATCTCATGTCTTTTGCTATAAAATGAAAATTGGTTGTATGGTCATCAATTAGAGACTTTATGAAAAAAAAATCTACAGAGAATGAGCACAAAACTGACAACGGTGAAGACGATGGAAAACAAGGTTGGCGGCGGATCTGGGAAGCAAAAAAAGGTTCGTATAGTTAACTATTTTCTGATTTTGTTTCTGTTGTAGTTACATAATAATGTAACTGAGATAGTTAATTATTTACATCATATTATTTGTAGCTATTTATATTTAATTGATTTCATAATATAGTTAACTATTTTACTCTATTTTGAACAATCTAAAACATAGTTAACTATTTTGTGAAAATAGTTAAATTTAAAAACATAGTTAACTATTTT